TCAGGGTTACAACCAGGAGCTGCAGCTTTGCTGCACTTTGCTATTCATTCTCATCTTTCCTGTCAGCAGGCACCCACAGAGATCAGGGACCACAGGGCCAAGTGCTGATTCCATCAGGATGGAAATCTCAGCTGTGGATGGCTACCTTGTCATGACAGTGACACGAGACATGTTCTGAGCCGTTACATGGCAGAGACCCAACGCGGGTCCCACTGTGGGGTGGGTGATGGGAGACATAGCCTGGATTCCTGTAACTGATCATTATAGGGACAAAATGACTGGAGCTGGAACACTAGATTGCTTGTGCTAGTGACCAGAAACACTGTGGTATTAAGTGCTTTTAAATGGGGGTGACCTGATCCTGTGCTTGATCATCATCACCCAGGGAAAGGTGTTCTCAGGAGCTGCCATGCCCTTGTGGGATGTTCTCATCTGTTCTCACTGGAGGTGCTGTCAGCTCAGCTCCACCTCCAGCAGTCCCTCCTGCAGGAGCTGTCCCATCACAAGCTTCTTGCTCAGAGCTTTCCCAGTTAGTTCCACTGCTCCCCCTTGGCTACCCAAGCCCTGACCTCCCCAAAGAGGGAGAAGATCACACACAACAGCTGAGAAGAGCATCTTCATAGCAGGAGGATAAAGAAATAAATAAGCCACACAGAAGTCCCCCAGCTCTTCTGGTGTGGGAGACTGTCCAAAGGTAGCAGCAGAACCAGGGCACCCGTGTCCTGCACCGTGACTGCGGCACCCGAGCTCCTGATTGCCGAGTCCCTTGCCGGGCTGAAACGAGGCCATTGTTCTGCTCTGTCCCCTGACCTTAATTTGATGTTGACAGGAATTTTCCTCTGAGACAAACCAGAAATCTCTGTCATCTACAGTGACCCTGGATCCACCTGGCCAGGAGGTGTTTTAGGAGCTGCCAATCCCTCCTACAGTTCACACCCCATTTGTCCCTGAGCATAGTATAATTCTCTCTGCAACCATTCTGACCCTGCTTTTAGGTCATCTCACGCAAATTTCAGGGCACTAAAATGGTCTGAAAGAAAGACCCAAAGGAACTGTGCCTTACTGCTGCTGGACTGCATCCCTCAGTGCAGGTCTGCACGGGACCTGTGGGTTCTAGGGATAACCATACTGGCTGTGTAAACTGCTGTGCTAAAGATCAGGTTAAGCTGCAAAAGTCCCACCTGTGTCCGTTCTCTGGCCTCCAGAACAGGCAGTTGAAGGGTGAAGAACCAGAGAATCACAGACTGGTTTGGGCTGGAAGGGACCTTTAAAACCATCTCATTCCAACACCCTGCCATGGGCAGGGACATCTTCCACTAGACTAGGTTGTTCCAAAGCCCATCCCACCTGGCCTGGAACACCAGGATGGGTGAAAAAGGCAAAGATGAACCTGGAGCAGGTGGGCTAGAAATGACTGAGGCACCACTGCTGTGGGATCTTGTCTCAGGCCATCTGAAGGACCCTCCAAAAATGGTCCCAAAGAGCATTTTAGCTGATGCCACTCTTTGTTTCATCATATAAACAGATATGAACAACTTGTCCCCAGCGACAGAAAATGTCACTTTCGATGAATCCAGTTGTATCCAGAGAGATCACAAAATGTTCCTGTCTTTAGGGCAGGAAGGAGATTTTTTTTCCTTTTTCCTTTTACTTGACTTCATATTTTTTTCTTTTTATATCAGAGAAGATGAAAAGAATTAAGGTCTCATCCTTAGAGTGCTGCAGGCATAAAACTTCCCTGGATATCAGCTCTTCTGCAGGGATTCCTGCAGTCACAGATTGGTATTAATGATCTGGATTTGGCTTTAGGGTTAAAAGGAAAGAAATCTGTGACTCCAGAACGTGGCTGTCCCTGTGCAGAGGGGAATATTTCAGCTTTGTGATTCACTGCCACCCTGTGATATTTAGCATTTTCCTAAAAGGATGAACACACAACATGAATTAAAAAAGATCCCCAAACAAGAAGAAAACCCAAATCTGTTCCTAGTATCCATAGTGACAGAGAAAACCTGGAAACCCTGAGGCTGATGGGCTGAAAAACTCTTATCACAAAGGAATAAAATGCAAAGTTGTGACATTTGTTGCTTTAAAATGAATTCTTTTAACCTGTAAATGCTTCACTAAATTCTTCCATGGGAAAAGAAGCTGGAGTTTTCCTTGATTAGATCCCACCTTGTGTTATCTGAACAAGTTTTCAATCTTTTTTTTTTTGGCTTTGCCTTCAGGTGGAATGGCAAAATTAGGACAAACTCACTCAAATGAATTGATAATTATTATTATTATTATTATTCCTTCCATGTACAGCCAGAGTACCTGGAAGCTCTGGTGCTAGTTCAGAGCAAAAACACGGGGAAAAATCCTGCATAATGCATGGACAAAATTTCACAGAAAACAGGGAATTTATATTTTTGAAAATCAAATAACAGGGGGAGGCTCCACATTTTCAACAATCATAGAAGTAATCGGACAAAGCAGCAGGAAGTAATATATCCAAACCATCCTGCCTGTAAAAAAGAGGGACAGTGGGAATAGGTGTCCTTGCCCAGGGCTAATTTTGATGAGGGATTTGCATATGGATCATCCCAAAGTAAGGAGCCCAAAATCTACAGTGCTGCTCAATATTCCACTGTATTTACTATTTTGTGAGTATTTTACTGCTGACTGGGCCAGACTGTTGTGGCCTAAAACCCCAGCCTGGAACTGAGCCCCTCTGAGCCACTGGATCAGGCCCAGGGTGGGATGAGGGAGGGAATCAGAAGGGTAAAAATGAGAAAACTCATGGGTTGAGATCACAGAATGGTTTGGATTGGAAAGGACCTTAAAGATCATCAAGTTCCACCCCCTGCCATGGGCAGGGACACCTTCCACTAGACCAGGCTGCTCCAAGCCCCATCGGAACACTTCCAGGGATGGGGCAGCCACAGCTTCTCTGGGCAGCCTGTGCCAGTCCCTCACAGGGAAGAATTTCTTCCCAATATCCCATCTATCCCTGCCCTCTGGCAGTGGGAAGCCATTCCCCCTTATCTTGTCACTCCAGGCCCCTGTCCAAAGGAGACACCCTCTGTTTCAGCCACAGCACCCAGGGTGGGAAGCCATTCCCCCTTATCTTGTCACTCCAGGCCCCTGTCCAAAGGAGACACCCTCTGTTTCAGCCACAGCACCCAGGGGTGTCCCCTAATTCCAGCAGGAA